ATCTATTAAATACATATTCATCTTTAATAAAGTTTGACTATTAATTCAATTAGGTCCAACTAATTATATGGTCCACAATAATAGAATAATATATAAAATATTATTACATTAAAAACTATGATTTCATGTCGCTTGTTTGTGTGTGATGATGACATTTTAGGAAGTAACTGTTGTCTCAATTCATCTACGGCCGACATTTTTCTCGATAATGGACTTCAACCCACATCGACTAAGAACCTTGTCCATTTTTCTCAAAGTAAGTAGTTATTCTCCTAATCTCAAAAGACCCCTCTACTTAATTTCTTGTAACTTTAATCCATAATAATCGACTGAATTTGCAGCGGTTAGAGATGGAGTCGTGTCCAAGTATGACTATGGCAGTGATGAGTCCAACTCGGAGCATTATGGAGAGTCGAGCCCTCCCGATTACGACCTGTCGAAAATCCCCCACGACTTTCCCCTCTTCTTGAGCTATGGAGGAGAAGACGCTTTATCGGACGATAAGGACGTGACTACATTGCTTGATGCTCTTAAGAATCATGACGTGGACAAGCTTCACGTGCAGTACGTCGAGGATTTTGCTCATCTCGACTTTATTATAGGGATAACTGCCAAGGACGTTGTTTATAATAAGGTTATCGACTTTTTTAGAAACCAGCATTAGGTTATCTGCAGTGTGTGAAATTGAACACACATATATTCATTTGATCTTCATAGTTTAGTGCATTTTGTTTTGGCTATATTGTGGGATACTTTTCCCTGTTGTTAATCATTTTCTTAAAACATCAAAATCTAATGATTAGCATTGCATTTTTTTTTTTTTCCATTGAGGACTGTTGGGTGGTCGTCTGGCTCGACTCGCCGGGCCCGGGCTGGCCCCGAACAGTCCCGAACAGCCTCTGGTTCGTCCCGACAGCACCCGGTAAGCCTCGACAGCAACCAGCAGGTCCCGGCAGCGTCCGTTAGGCACCGGACAGCAACTTTTGCTTCCCGGACAGCAACCTTTTCGAGCCCGAACAAGTCCCGGTTTGATCGCTTCAAGACGAAACAAGAAGATACTAATAAATGTAGTAATTTCAGCAACCAAACAATATAAATGAATTGAAAATGCTGAAATTAAACAAAACATAAAGAGGAACGAATACACCCTTTTGATGTTCTTGTACGAGGCCCGAATGTCACTGATTGGATTTGAAACAAGCAGGCTCAGTCCCCTTTCGTCAAGCCCACAAAATGAGTCACCGAATATCCGACAAAGAACCGATCAATTGGACCCTTGACCTCAATAATTCCAGCACTGCAAACCCAGGGTAACACCACTAGACCATTGTACCAAGCTCGGCCCGAGAAGCAGCCCGCACACAAAACCCCCAAAATTCCTCTCACAAAAGGACCTGGTTGAAACACGAAGGGAACTCTCACCAAAATCACAACCCCCTTATCACAAAGATCTCTAAGGATAGGAAATGGTATGTTCAATTTGACACAAGAGTCAGGAGGAGATACAGAGAGCAAGAACCAGTGCATGCATATATAAGCAAGAGAGAAACAGAGAGAGTATATATCGGGTTTTTGAAAGCTGCGTGAAAATCTCCTTTCTAATTGCTGCTGTTGAGATTTTTAATACGTTGGGGCCTCTTAATCTGATGGCTGTTTGTTAGGAGAGTAACTTAGGGCAACAGGTCACTAAACAAAAGAAAACAACGGTCAAGATCACTTTGATCATAGTGGGCTGCCAAACTGAGCTCAGGCCAAAGAAATTGGGCCAAAGGATTATTTAAATATCGGGCCATCAACAGAATATCATTTGGGCCACAACACCAACAATCTCCACCTTGGGCCCAAGTCGGTTTACAAGACTCGGGTTGACAGGGGTCATCATCGCCTTTACCTTACCGTACCTGCACTCAAACACAAAGTTAGAGCAAACATGTAGCAGACATAAAGTCGGCTACCTCACACAAAGTTCGCATAACACATATCAATCACACGTATCAAAAATCAAAATTTTCAAGCAACATGACATCCATTTAGAATCCACTAAGAACCACTTTCTTAGTTTAGAAACATAAGACCACATATAATTCACATGCAAGGACTTGATCTTATTTTCCACAATATTCATCCATTGCAAATAATTGCCATGTTTAGAAACATATAGAGCCCTATCTCTTCTAGATCTATCTCTAGCCGAATGATAGTCATGCAAATCACAAAGATCAGATTTAAGCAAATTTTCAACAATTTCCACATGCACAACAGCATCATCAACATGATTATCAAACACATTTATAGATATATTGTCAGAAATAGAGTTCTCATCAAGCATAATAGGCACATTTTGCACATCATCAGACAAAAGACATGAAAGCTCCACCTTGCTCGGAGCAACGACAAGTTCAGAAACAGGGAAGCTCACTTGTGATTGTTTGCTAAGCACACAAGAATCACAAAATGGCACACAAGACAATTTGTCACAACCAAAAGAGCCATTTTTATGCAAAATCTCAAGACCCCTAGAATACATGTGACCTAAATGCGTATGCCACAAATCAATTTTGTCACCACAGACATCATTCACAGGGTTTTGCATACAAGATTCAGCAATGCAAACATACAAGTTCAACTTTTTAACAGCTTTGAAGATCACCAAAGAACCCTTCAAAATTTTCATAACACCATTTCCCCATTTACCTTCTAAACCATCATCTTCTAAAGCAGCACATGATATCAAATTATGACACAAATCAGGGACATGCCTCACATTCTTCAGAGTTAACACATAACCAGAATCAAATCTCAAGCAAATATCACCAATACCAACAACTTCACACGATTTCTCATTAGCCATAGAAACAAATCCATGCTTCACATCTTTATAGTTCGAAAACAAGTGTTTTAAAGAAGACATATGAAACGAGCATGCAGAATCAACAAGCCATTCAGTTTCACAAAGAGAACGATAACGCACAGAATTCACATTATCATGCATTTCATTCACATAATACACCTCACCAAAGTTTTCACTACTAGATGCCATATTCGCACGATCATTATGCTGGTTTTGCTTGGGATTAGGGCAATCATTCATGTAATGACCAATTTCACCACAATTATAACACTTACGGTTTTTTGATCGAGACTTCGACCAATTTTTCCACGTACCCTTCTTTTTGCCAAAATTTTGATTTGTCGAAGGTTTTTCATTTTGAAAATGATTTTGAGGCTTTCCCCTCACAAAATTAACCTCATAGACATTCTCATTACCCCGGTTGGTTTTCAAATCCAGCTCTTTGCTTTTCAAACCATTCACAACAGTTTCAAGATTCACATTATCTCTACCATACTTAATAGCAGATTTCACATCACTGTAAGAATCAGGTATAGCATTCAAGAGCACAATAGGGGTATAATCATCAATATGCTTATCACCAGTTTGCATAACATCCTGAACAAGTTTGGTAAACACATCCAAATTATCATCCATATCTTTGGACAAATCAAGTTTGAATCGGAAAAATTTCTCAAGCAGAAACAACTTATTTGGCAAAGAAGTTTCAGTATATAATTCCTCTAATTTTTCCCAAAGTTCTTTAGCAGAGTCCAATTTACCAACTTTTCTTAACACAGAGTCAGATAAGTTCAGAATAATCGAAGAATAAGCAAACTCATCAATTTCAGCCTTTTTCTCGGCCGACACATTCACAGAATGAGAAAGGTCAATAGCTTTAAACACCTTTTGTTGAACAAGAATACCTTTCATTTTCTGTTGCCAAATACCAAAATCAGATTTTCCATCGAACGGGACTAAGCTAAAAGCTGACACGGATCCCATTTTTTTTTAAAAAACACACAAGTTTTTGCACAGAAAATCACAACGAAGCAAATTTCACAAAGAAAATATACCAACGACTAAAGTACCACAAAGATACAAATCACACAAAAGTGAACACAAAGCAAATACGCACAGCGGAATATTACTACGAAAGCAATAAATCAAATAAGCATGCAGCTGAACCTCCAGCAAAGCGATAATCACACAAAAGCGATAAATCAAACAAGCATGCAGCTGGAACCTCCAGTAGACCGGTAAAATCACACAAATCACAAAGATCCTAGAAATCTACCAGCACGTTCCCAACAAGCAATCCCTAATCCCTGGACGCAATCCCTGTCCAGGGGCTATCACTACAAAAGCGATAAAGAGAACGGGTTTCAGTCAAGATACCTGAGCGAGCCCTACGAAAAGGAACTCGACTTACCTGTGGCGGCGAGCAGACGACCTGGCAAGAGCCAGTCTCTGATACCACTGTTGTGTGGTCGTCTGGCTCGACTCGCCGGGCCCGGGCTGGCCCCGAACAGTCCAGAACTGCCTCTGGTTCGTCCCGGCAGCACCCGGTAAGCCTCGACAGCAACCAGCAGGTCCCGGACAGCCTCTGTAGGAGCCGGACAGCAACCAGCAGGTCCCGGCAGCGTCCGTTAGGCACCGGACAGCAACTTTTGCTTCCCAGACAGCAACCTTTTCGAGCCCGAACAAGTCCCGGTTTTATCGCTTCAAGACGAAACAAGAAGATACCAATAAATGTAGTAATTTCAGCAACCAAACAATATAAATGAATTGAAAATGCTGAAATTAAACAAAACATAAAGAGGAACGAATACACCCTTTTGATGTTCTTGTACGAGGCCCGAATGTCACTGATTGGATTTGAAACAAGCAGGCCCAGTCCCCTTTCGTCAAGCCCACAAAATGAGTCACCGAATATCCGACAAAGAACCGATCAATTGGACCCTTGACCTCAATAATTCCAGCACTGCAAACCCAGGGTAACACCACTAGACCATTGTACCAAGCTCGGCCCGAGAAGCAGCCCGCACACAAAACCCCCAAAATTCCTCTCACAAAAGGACCTGGCTGAAACACGGAGGGAACTCTCACCAAAATCACAACCCCCTTATCACAAAGATCTCTAAGGATAGAAAATGGTATGTCCAATTTGACACAAGAGTCAGGAGGAGATACAGAGAGCAAGAACCAGTGCATGCATATATAAGCAAGAGAGAAACAGAGAGAGTATATATCGGGTTTTTGAAAGCTGCGTGAAAATCTCCTTTCTAATTGCTGCTGTTGAGATTTTTAATACGTTGGGGCCTCTTAATCTGATGGCTGTTTGTTAGGAGAGTAACTTAGGGCAACAGGTCACTAAACAAAAGAAAACAACGGTCAAGATCACTTTGATCATAGTGGGCTGCCAAACTGAGCTCAGGCCAAAGAAATTGGGCCAGAGGATTATTTAAATATCGGGCCATCAACAGAATATCATTTGGGCCACAACACCAACAAGGACAAAGACAAAATTGTGATTCTTGATGCAAGAAACTTGATTGTAAATGTGAATGTTAAGTGGTCGTCTCCCAATCCACTAGCGGAGGTCATTGGCAGCGGAAGCTCTGTTTACGGGCTCGTTTTACGGCTGCAAGCCTTCTTGTTCTCTCTTGGAGGTGCTGCTCCTCTTCCGGGACTCTCGAACAACTTTCCGAAGCTCCAGGCTGGTCGCATACTCCCTTTACACGTGCGGTTTGAGCTGCAAAACAAATTGAGAGAGAATAAGCAAATGGTGAGGAACAACAAAACATAAAAACAGACAACAATAAAGTGCTGAA